TTTGCCAGCCAGCCCTGGGCAGCCCCAGTCTTCCCCCTCCACTCCACCCAGCCAGCTGGAGCAAGACAAAAGCCCCCCTGAGCCTCTCATGATAACTCTGGAGAGCAGCAAAGAAAATCAGCAACCGGAGAGCAGGTCGACTTCATCACTGAGTGGCAAGACATGTCCCAACAACCAAGCCCCTGTGGGCATCCAGGAAATTGTCGCCATGTCGCCCGAGCTTGACACGTACTCCATCACCAAGAAGGTCAAAGAGGTGTTAACGGACAACAATCTAGGTGCTGATTTCCAGATGCCTCTTGGCTGGTCGTGACCTCTGCAGCAGCATGTGCTTAGCTGCAGAGAAGGGCTAGTCCAGGGAAGGGGGGCTCTGGGGTGTCAGTCCAGCCTATATCGGAGATGGATCAGGTATATGATTTGGACATGGACACAGGTCCTGGGGCAGAGGGTTTCCAGTGTTGTGCATTGATCTTGATTTCTTGCCAGGTGTCTGTCTAAGGCCAGGGTGGGGATCCGGCCCCCAGTTTGCCTGAATCTGGCCCCTCAAGGCTTGGAGCTCCCCCCCAAAATTGAGAGGCCAGCATTGGTGCTCCAGCCCTGTCACTCTCCCACCTTCTGCCTGCTGCTGCACCCCCACTCTGCTTCTGCACCCTACCTCCCACCCCCACCCTGCTCATGCACCCTAACACCCTCCCAGAACCACCAGCCCCTGCACCCCAAGCCTGCTTCCTGGAAGCCCCTCCCACACCCTGAACCTCTCATTTTTGGCCGCTCGCCCTGCTCCTCCACCCTAACCCCCCCCCAGACCCACCAGCCCCTGCACCCCAAGCCTGCTTCCTGGAAGCCCCTCCCACACCCTGAACCTCTCATTTTTGGCCGCTCCTCAGAGCCTAGGGGGCCCACAAAAATGCACTAGCCTGGGCCCCCCAGGCTCTAGTGTGTATGGGGAATGTGGGGAGTGTCTTTCTCCTTCTCCATCTGGGGCCACGTCAGTGAGGGGGTTTTGTGTTTTGGAGTTTTTTGCATCTCACTTCTGTGCAGTCACCGACTGATTTTTCTGTGGGTCAGCAGCCCCCAAACCCAAGAAAGGTTCCCACCCTGCTCTAAAGGTAGGTCTACACTCCAGCTGGAGGCTAATTCTATGAGGAATGAGGCCAGGCCTAACACTGCTTGCACCCTGAGCACGCGTCTTTGGTCGCTCAGGTGGGATCGCGCTTGGACAGCCAGCCCCTCCCACCCTTCGTGCAGCTGCAGTAACTTTGGTAACTAGCATATGGGCTTGAGGACAGCTAGCCTGGGTCTGTTGGCTCATGCTGGGAATTACACCTCCAGCTCCAGCGTAGACCTCCTGTCTATGTCAGACGCTGAGCGAGGCCAGGCTGATGGGCAGGACACCCCAGCTGCTAGTAGCATGGAAACTGAGCAAGGCTGGCAACCAGACGATTCAGCTGCCTGCACAGCACAATATTCTGTCATGAGTGCATCAGCTTCGGGGCAAACAGCAGATGAGCCGAATTCCCCACTGGGGTGGGACATGCCCCTGCTCTCCTGAAATCAGTGGGAACTTTGCCATTGGCTCGAATAACCTGGGGCAGCTTCATTGCGGGCAGTGGTGTACCAGCTGGGGTAAGGGTCTGTGCTGAGCTACAACCCCAGCTGCTTCCTAGGTTCCTGCAGCCACATCTCTTTTAATCCCTCTCTGCTTCTTCTCTGCCAGGCCAGCGTCTCCGTGGGGAGAGCATCCTGGGCCTGACACAGGGCTCGGTGTCTGACCTCCTCTCCAGGCCCAAGCCCTGGCACAAGCTGAGCCTGAAGGGCCGGGAGCCCTTTGTCCGCATGCAGCTCTGGCTTAATGACCCACACAACGTGGACAAGCTCCGTGACATGAAGAAACTGGAGAAGAAAGGTGAGTGTCAGCGTCCCCAAGCTCACCCGGGGCACAGAGCCAGGGCTGGATTCTGACTTCAGTGCAAATCCAGAGTCATTTCTTGGACATGCTGGACTGATTCTGCTGTGCACCAGCTTCCGCCTGGTGGGTGTAGCTAGTTGGTGGCAAATCCTTGTCAGTGAGGTGCGGTCTGATTCTGCTGTCGCCCTGGTGTAAATCAGGAGTCATCGTACTGAAATCAGTGGAGTTACCTTGGTGTGAATCTGGGGGAAGGCAGATTGGAATTGGGCTTGCACCCGCTGCTGCTCAGTGTCTACAGTTCAAACAGGCGGGATCACAGCCAGCGAATAACCTGGATCTGTGCGTTTGCCCATTGCAAGCTGGTGACTTACAAAGGACCATGCTCTGGAGCTAAAGAGCAATCCAGGCAGTGACTGAATGGTGGCAAGCGGCCAACTGCTCCAGTCTGGGCACTCAAATAGGGCCAAACTCAGTGTGCATGACCAGATGGTCTCCCCATGGTGCAATGCGCTGGTTGATGGTCTTCTCCACCCTAGGAGTGGCTGCATTTTGCCAGGGCAGGATGTAGTGGAGGGCGCTGTGCTCTGACAGCCTCCAGGGCAGGGCAGGCAAGTGCCCTACATCAGAGAGGTGTCACTAGGAACTATTGACTGGAGCTCTCTAGTCGCTGAAGCTTGCTCTGGCCTTCTCAGGGTGTGTTACTGGGGCATGTCACAGGGAACATGGGATGCTGGGATTGCATCCGATGCTGGGATTGCAAGCTGCAAATGCTCAGGTCAGAGAGGAGTTGGGGCAGGTGAGCACTCCTGGTAGAGTGGACATAGGCTTGGATCATGTCTGCTCACTGTCCCCTATCACCACATCCAGATCCTTGCCAGCAGGAAGCTGGTTCTAAGGGTGAATCCCGTCCCCAGAGCAACCCAAGATTCACACTCTAGTCTCCAGAGGGGGAAGCCAGATGCTTGCAAGTCAGAGTGGCCAGTGCAGGGATAGGCAATAATTTTTGCACGAGGGGTCACTTCACAAATTTTAATAGTGGTCATGGGCCAGCTCCAGGCTCTCCCGGAAAAGGCAGGATCTCCAATGGAAAGGGGCGGAGCCACAGGTGGAAGGAGCAGTTCCCTCTAGGTGCCATGTACCCCTGGCAGGGGAAGGGGACTCCACACCCTCCCCCACCCTCTGGCCAGTCGGGGTCTGGGGGCAGGGATTGTGAAAAGTCTCTTGCACACCACCTCCACTCTGCCAAAGGCTCGCGGCACCTAGAGGGAACCACCAGCCACGTTGTACAGTGATCGGCTTCGCGCACTCCCCCACCCCCGGGTCTCAATTGACCTGGGGCCAGGGAAGCAGTAGGGCAGGCCATGGGTCACATCAAATGGCTTGCTGGGTAAAATCCAGCCTGCGTTGTGTATCCTGCCCACCTGAGTGTGCTTTGCAGAATGGACTGTGCAGAGTGTAGTTTCCAGCCATGCAGCCTCAGAGGTTTGGGTTGACTGGCTTAATGGCTGTGGCCCATGTTTCCTGTGAGCTGGGCGCTTGGGCAGCCGCACAGCAGAGATTCCAATGCCGCCCAGCTGATTAGCAGAGTGCTCACACCCAGAAACCGGTGTCTCTTCTGGTGGTGCCCATCCATACATGCCTTGGTGCACAGAACAAAATGTATTCCACACATGGATGGAAAACGTTAGAAGGAACGGCAGAGAGGGTGAGGGGGGCTGGGAGCACACGGC